TGTGAATGTGTGACATGATACAAGGGGAGAATCCCAATTAAAATCTTGCTGCTAAAAAGTGACAAAGACCTCCCAAACAGTGTGAGACTCCAGGCCAACTATGAGTGTATGAATAATTGCAGTAAATCACATCTGGTCTGGCAGGTTTTTATAGATGGAATAGTATACACATAGGAGGATTTTTTTAACCAATTGTCATTTCTCTAACTTTAATGTAGTTTGTGGGTTTTTTTCCTTTTTTTTTTTTTTCCCCCAGCATTCACTAAGTGCTGCCAAGAAACGGGTCTTCTTATGGTGGTGAAGTGTCGGCAGGAGAACACGGCGCTGAAGGATTGTCTGGTTGGCTAGTAAGTCCCTCGTGAGCTTTTGTGGGTTTTTGTCGCATGCCCTATACTAATCTAGAAATAAGCAGAAATCTTGAATCTCCTCAAAAGGGTTTTGCAAGGTTAGTGACATTGATGTATTTTCTGAAAATTGTATCTTCGCTTTAAAAAAACCCCCATGCTGATCAGGGCTCTGCCTGACAAGACTATTTCCTCAACAAAGCTGTCCCAGGGCTGTGAGGATGCTCTGTGTGATTTAAACGGGGACAGATCTGGATTTTCAGCCCAGGTGACATGCAGCCCCGTATTTTTAAGGTGTAGTCTCCTTCCTGAAAGAGTTGTGCTGTTATGGTGAGCACAGGACATCGTTAGATGCTAGAGAGGTCAACCTGATGCCATGGTGGAATGCAACAGCCCTTTGGAAGTCCTGCTTCATCCCCAGCAGGCTGAAGTGTGTCACATTCCTGCATTTCCCACTGTGAGGGCTGGGGAGTTTTTGAGTTTGACTCTGGGTAGAAGGGGGTTGGGTTGGTTTTTTTGGTGGAATGTGTTTCTTTGGGGGTGAAAAGAAGGTCAGTTTTCAGTGTTATTCATGCAGTATTTGTTCCATGTTCCAAGATGAAAAATGTTATTGTGTACTTGTCTGTCTTGTAGCTATTCTGATCCGTTATTCTATGAAGAATGCAAAACTGAGTATTTGAAGCAAAGAGAAGAATACAGAGCAACTGGAATTAAGAAGAAAAGACAGAAATTTACTTCAAATGTGTAGTTAAAACTTGAAATGAACTTACCAAATTTTATATCCGACTTTCATTTGACCCGATTTAAACACTTAAACCATCTGTACCCCTCTGTGTGGAATTTAACTGAAATGCACAAAATGAGATGAATGGGGAATAAAATAATCTTTGGTCTTAAAACCAAATCTTTCTTTTCCGTAGCGGAAGGTACAGAGCACGCTGCCACAGCCTGCAAGAGGAGTGGCAAAGGTCTCTGCCTCTGTCTGGACTTGAGATCTTGTTGCCAGTTTGCAAATGGCCTTCTGGAATTTCAGGCTTGTGGCAGGCCTCGTAAAAACTTCAGGGGAAGTCATTTAGGTCGTATTACCCGATCGCTGATTGGGTGTACGGTAACATCAGGCTGTTGGTGGAAGCTGCAGGTGTAGGGAGATGATGCTCTTACTAGAAGGGGTGGGTGGCAAATGGGGAAGAGAAGAGCTTCTTGGTCCAATTTCATAGAATCAGGGAATGGTTTGGGTTGGAAGGGACCTTAAAGCCCATCTAGTTCCAACCCCCCTGCCATGGGCAGGGACACCTTCCGCTAGACCAGGTTGCTCAAAGCCTCATCCAGCCCATGTGGTTTACCTTTCTCATGAAAATGTTGAGTGATGAGAACCTGACCGTAGCTTTTGCCTACACTGCGACTCGTTTTGAAGTCCACGTTGTCAGAAGAGATGAGTGCCCCGTGCCTGCGTGTGGCCCAGGCTGACCCTTTCGACTCTGGAGGCGAAGGTCGTCCGATCTAGACCTCCCCTGAGGATGGGAGAAGGAACGCAGAAGGCTGAGTCCGTGAGAGCAGCATCCTCCCCTCGGAATGAAGAGGACTGTACAAGCTTCCCCGCTTCAGGAGTGGGTGAGTGACCGCGCTGCCAGAGTGCTAATGGGCAGCGGTGAGTGAGCAGCTAAAGTAGGTGCGTGAGCGGCAGGTCGCTCCGTGCAGAGACTAAGTGTAGGCGAGTCCCTACTTAACAAGGGGCATAAAGAGCCTCTTTGTATTCTGGTACTTGAAGCTGCTTCATTGCCGAACTCCCGAATGCATGAATGGCTTCACTAGAGTCTGTAGAACACAAAGCCAGTGCTGCTGGAAAGCCATGCGAGTGGGAAATTCACATGGGACTGAGACACGTGTATGTGAAGGGCTTAAGTTGGCGTTGCAGGTGAGTCCTTGCTCTTTATTCCCAGCCTTTTACTGGGAAAATCACCAGCAATGTTGTGGCTGCTGTTACCCAGCGGACTGGCGGGGGGATTAGAGAATGCTTGTGAATGGGAACCTGGAAAGCTGGGTGGCACTCAGCTCTAAAACCAACCACCTTAAAAGAGCTTCTGTGGAGTAGAATTCCCTACA